TTAAGGACTTGATGGTGATATATAGGGATTTTAAGAATTCAGCGGAGAGGCTGACTTTTGCCTTTTATCATTCCATTAAAATTTTATAACCATCTTTTTCATGTCATCTCACCCATGAATTCTTACTTTAGAAAGTGATAGCTACCGCCATGAACATAAGTTTTCTCTTGTTCAAAGCTTCTTATTGTATTAGCCAACTAGGTCGGTTACAGGCGCTCCTCGTGTTTTACATAATTGTGTTGACCCGCACGGGAAACTCTTTATGTAAAGTGTGTGTGCGTGCATGCGCACGTGTGTGTGTGTGTGTGTGTGTGGGGGGGGATATTCGCTTGCTATTTAAGACCGCAGGGAATAAAACTGGTGCTTGCTCTTAAGATTAAAGCTGGCCATGGACTTGCTGAACGTGCATGTTTATACATTGAGACGGTACCCCCACCTTCAGCCTTATCTTGTCTAAACACAAGGGGGAAATCCTGTACATCTTTACATCCTTTACCCAACAAAGGATAGCCAAGCAGTGCAAGCAGAGGCTGCAGATCATCTACAAACATGTGATAATTTCCATCTGTGGTTGTCTGTATGGTGTTTATCTTATGTCTGTGGATGCATCTACATTCACACCTGAGCGTTTCGTGAACGCGTGGCAAACAAGCACACGAATGTGCACTTTGACAATCATTTGTGAAACACGTCAAAAACATGAAAAGCACATGCTGTGCCATTTAATGGCACCCCAAATGTGGCAGGGAAGATGCAGGTTTTCCCCTGCATTTGCATATGTTAAAACGCGCAGAAAAGCGGAGGAAAAAACACAGAACATTCTATGTCGAAGATTTTGCTACATGCACTACTTTTTTTGTGTTTGTTGTGCATTCAGGAACCAATTGAAAGCAATGGAGATGCATGGCAAATGCATAAAAAACAAATGTGCACGAGCACAACTCATGTTCCTACTACGCTAAGGTATGAAAGGGGCCTTAGGTCACCTACACACCAGGGCGTAGCAGGATTGCACGCACATTTGCAGGACTTTGATTCCCGCGTTTGGTGCACGTCCCCATTGATCCCCATTGGATATGCTCTAATCACAGAATTTGGCAACATGCATTCTGCGCTTTTTCCTGTGCCTTTGTGTGCATTCTCAAGAGTGTGAACACGCAGGAAAAACACATATGCTGGACCACATGAGGTGCTATTCCGCATTTGTGTATGCATGGTGAACGCACGTCAAAGCGTGTACTTTTGTGCACATTTGACACACATTCACGATATGCCCTGGTGTGAATGGGTACTTAAAGATAACTAGGCTAGATTGGGCAAATGCAAGAATTTTAATATCCAGTCTGAAAGTAGATGGAACGCCACTATACTCTCATTTAGGGTATAAGGCGGTAATGTAATTTTCAATATTTTAAATTATGCAGCTTTTAATAAAATAAAACCTGTTAATTCTGCCATGAAGGTCCTTGTTCAGGTACTTCCTGTTATAGGGTGAAAACACCTGAAATGTGCCAGCTTCAAAACAAATTATATAGGCATGGTCCACTGTTATCACTGTCAGGAAACCTTCCCTAAAGATCACAAGGTCACCTCAAGTCTTATAGTTGTCTCTAGGTCATTTGACTGACATCACAAACTGTACACTCAGGCTGGGGAACAGTATAAGAGATCAGGCAGAAGGCAGGGCAGCAACTATTAGATTTAAAGTGACACTAAACTCAGGATATCCTAGGGTAAATCTTAAAAATGCATTCAAATTCCTTAACTATTAGCAAAAATGTATCTTATTTGTGTATCACTCGGCTGTAGATCTTCAAATCATCTCTGAATTGGTGCTGACACTGTCCTTCCTTCTGGAGGGTGGCTACTTTTTTCCCCATGGTCCCTGTGTGTGTTGTAAAGTAGCCACCGCTCCAAGCACACTCCCGTGATGGACTACAACCTCAGTTCAAATTAGTAAACTAAATGTGAGATTGTAGTCCATCATGGGAGTGAGCTTGGAGCGGTGGCAACTTTACAACACACACAGGGACCATGGGGAACAAAAGTAGCCACCCTCCAGAAGGAAGGACAGTGTCAGCACCAATTCAGAGATGATTGGAGGATCTACAGCCTAGTGCTACACAAATAAGAAACATTTTTGCTAAGAGTTTTTAAGAGTTAACTCCTGAGTTTAGTGTCACTTTAAGTTAGTAGCGAGGGTTCAGCAGTTCAAACCTTTTCACTTTAAAGGGCCACATGACCTAAAAATAAAGTTCATACATTGGTAGTCAGGGGTTGAGTAATTGGCACCGGCAGAATTCTGCTGGTCTCCAAGGAAGGTCATCCACTGTCCACAAGTCATGGCAAAACCTTTCCTTCCGGCACACAGACAATTCCGTATTATATGTGAGCAATATATATAATAAACATTCTTAAATTCCCCACCTGACATATTTTGTTACATTCTAAACCCCCTGACATTTGAAGCTTAAAAAAACTCGGGCCATTTTAAACAATTACCAAATGCAACTATATCTTCTTTTTTTAAGATATACAATAAAATCTATGGCTCTGAGACACACGGGGAAAAAAAGAGAAAAAAAAATCATAAATGTCAAAACTCGCTCTGGGCAACAGATAGGGCTGTGGTGTTTCCCCCTGATCTGCCATAGCAATTTCTTACTTATCAGGATGTGCTTTATAACAATGGCAAATGTTCCAAAATTACAGCTGTTACACTGATCAGTGATCGAGCTAGACTGCTGTTATTGCACCATGTTCTCCTCTTGTACCTAGAGAGCAGTAAAGCTTCGATATAATAAAAGGCACCTGCATTTTAAATGAAATTTCAATTGAAAAACTTAACAGCCCTTCAAATTGCAGAATTTAACGCAGCCCAGTAAAGCTTAAATAACACTTTCCCTTCGCACGTTAAAGCTTTTTTTTTTCTTTCCATTCAAGGTGACTTGATTGTGTCGCGTGGTGAAATTATTTACAATTAAGGAAGCTCTCTGGGGGGCTCCGGAGCGCGTGCCGTTGCGCGGCGCCTATACAGGCATATGGCGGCTGGCTTTCAGTATGCGCTCGAGCTCTTGAACCTTTATGGTAATTGAATCTGTTAGATTGCTGAGTAGAGGAGGCATTAAAACCTGTTAACCCAAAGGTCAGGTGTGTGCGTTGTTTATTTATCAGGGGGCGAGAGAGCGCGATCGGCAGCTTCTGTCACAGTTACCATAAAAAATCACCTACAATATTAACAGGGAGTAGATAAATTGCAAAACATGAGTGGGAATTACAAATAGAGATGCTGGGCTGGAGGAAAATGAATGTACTGTATTGTTCAGAAACAACATACAGTGTATATATTAAATAGAATATTTTTTATGTGGAAGTTGGTTATGGCAAATTTTGGATCTCTAAGCTGATGGCCCTGGGAAGAGATACTCTTTCATTCAAACCTTAATCAGAGCTAGACCCGGAGTCAATGACACCTTCCGAGCATTAAATAGATACCTTTTCCTTTCCTTTTTGGACCTGTGATCACAGCACCTTCCTGGACGAAGTCTTCCAGCACTGATTTAGTTCGTGGCTCTGAGATGTCATGTGACCAAATGCCAAAAGCAAAAATGAATTTGACGCTGGAAGACTTTCCTCTGCCAAGTGCTGTGATTGCAGGTTTGAACAGGGAACATCTAGCTATGTAATGCTTAGCATTGGTCACTGAATAAGGGTTCCACTCAAATCAATTTCTGGATGGGCAATCCAGAAAGAAGAGACGTATCTGCTCCTTCTGGATTGTTAAATATATACTGATGCCCAGTATATAGCCTTTTGTAGGGCTATAGTTCCACAAAGCATCAAAAAATATACTGGACTTACCTGAACACAATCCAATCTTGTCAACCCTTTCCTCTTCATTCTCTAGCCCTGTGTCTTCTTGAGGTGCTTCGACCAACCCAGTGTTGTTCCTAGGGGAGGTGGTGGAGGTGGGTGGCCCACACTGGGTGCCTTCACTTCAAGGGTACGCAGGTGTGTCTACCTTTAACATTCAGAGTGTCAAGAGGGTTCTAGGCGTTAAAGTGTTCTCTGTTTTCGAGCAACCGGAACTGAAAGAAGCAGCAACTGTCAGGCAGAACGATTTCTGCCCGACAGCAAAACTATAGCCCAGGATTGGGTGAAAGTAAACACTGAGCACCAGAGCTGGGAGGTTATTGTTATAGTTACAGCCAACCACAGACCATCAATACTTGGAAGGGGTTGTTATTGTTACATCCAGCCACTAACCACCAATGCTGTGGGGCTATTATTACAGCCGGAAGGGGCATTATTGCAGCCACTTACACCAGTGCTGGGGGTTATTATGACAGCCAATGATAATAGTGCTGGGGGTTACTGATACCGCCAAAGGCACCAATGAGGGGCTAATTTTACTCCCATACTACACGCCATATACTATACTGTGAAGCAACACCCACGTGATTGGGCATGCCTTCAGGTGCTCGTCCCAAGGTGGGCAACGTGCAGCGCAACACATTTGTTCAAAGCATCCCTCCTAACTATTTACAAACCCGGTATATAAATCCTGCATAATAATAATTACTTTTTGGCACATATGCAGCAGATAGCATCTCTGAGCTCCTGGATGTCAGGCAGATTGATATGCTCTCTTCTTAAAGTTGCAGTCATACTTAAAGCTTTTGCTGTTTGCCTTCCATTAGCCAATTCTGCTCACACCCCCAGCATACAGTACATGATATTTCATTTTGCAATTTGTAGTGAAAATAAATTTGATGTATGGGGGGGGGTTAAAAAAATATATTTTTCCGGGTGCACAGTGTGTTAGTTATGCCACTACACCAATCTATTCTCACTGCTCCCCACCTTCTAATCTGGTTTTCACTGACTCCTTCCTCTCCATTATCTATCCAGCTCACTAATTATTGCGGCACCTAGAAGACTACATACTATAAACAGTATTACAATGTATGTGTAGAATCACATTTCTTTGTCTTTCACAGAACCAGGACCTATGAACCCGCCCATTCTCTTCAGTTTGGAATCAAGAACTGTAACAGTCACTTGGCCAAAGCCATCACAACCTAATGGAATTATAACCCATTTTAACATTTACCAAGACGGAAGTCTGCAGGCAGTGGTCCCTGGAAACAGTTCACGGCACATATTTCAAAATGTAATCCCATACACAACCTATCACTTTCAGCTGGAAGCATGCACCTCTGCTGGGTGTTCACTGTCCCAAGAGTCACTGGGTGTGATGACCCCACCAGATGCACCAAGTGGAATTTCACCACTCGATCTCCATTCCGATACTCCGACCTCTGTAATGATCCGCTGGAGGCCACCTCTTCATCCCAATGGTTTAGTTGAAAACATTAGGATTGAGAGAAGACTAAAGGGTACAGATCATGTGTATACCCTGGTAACATTGAATGGACATCACCCCATGCTCTACCTAGATCAAACCAATGGCATTAACCCATGGGAAACCTATGAGTATAGGATTGGCATGACCACTTTTAATGGAGGAAGCAACAGCAGTGAATGGGCTGAAGTTACAACAAGACCTGCTCGCCCCGTGGGTGTTCAACCACCAGAAGTAACTGTGTTTGGTCCATATACTGCAAAGGTATGTTTAAATCTTGGTGTTTGAGGGCACATCATTATTTTTATATTTTTGTCCCATTACCATGAATCCCATTAATTTACACTATACTGTATTTTTATAGACAACTGACCAGCACACCTATACTATGTGGCCAAATGTATGTGACCACGCCACCAAGATATTGTATGTTCAATGAAGGCAAATGTGCTTTTAACCTTATGGCAACAGTTTGGGGAAGGCCTTTTTTTTATGATGAGCATAACTGTGCCCCAGTGCACAAAGCCAGCTCCATAAAGACATGGTTTGATGAGTTTGGTGTGGAGTAATTTCTACACTGAGTTCCTGGTTTTGCACACTTGCTGTGGCCATTATGATGACACCCGCCATTCCTGCTGGATTGTTTTATTTATTTTATAGTATAAAGAATGTAACAGTATTAGCAACAAAACACAAAGGTGAACAAGAACACCTAAAACTCCCAGTTGAATAGGAAGTTGGATATTAAGGCAAGGGGATCACACTTTTGGAGTATGGAGTAAGTCAAATAAGTAAGTCAAGAGCTCCTTTAATAACGAAAATATATTTTTTTGAGTGGACTGACCCAAATCTAGACAAGATTTTTTTTTCTAATCTTAGAAACAGTGGGGAAGGATGAGGACCTTTATTGCCTTTTTATTTCTCTCTTTGTCCATGTTGATAAGATTTCCCTTTACGTCTGTCTGGCTAGTAGGCAGGACAAAGGGAAACCGACCCACTAGGAACAACAACAGCATATACAAATATATTCCTTCCCTACTGTGCTAGACAAATTGTTTTAACTGAAGTATGCATTCCCACGGTGGAAATTTCCCCTCACTTCCTGTTTTATGACTCCTATCAAATTGATCGGTGCTATACTCGTGGAAATGCTCAGATACCAAAACCTGATACTGGCGCTTTAATAATGCAAATGAAGCCACTGCATTAGGTCCCACGCTTGCTGGGGACCTCGTGGCAACCTTCTGGGGAACCTCTGTTTACAGCACTTTTGCCGACCCACACATCTCCCCTCCTGATACCCTCCGCTCGAGACATCAGACTGGTACCTCGAAGAAGAGCAGCAGCACAGAGTGCGCTATGTACAGGTATGGTGCTGCAAAACTGAACTCTACAGCTACTTTAGAAATATTGCTCTCTGTTTCTGTCCTGTGCTTTATTCTGCATTGCTGTATAATGTATTGCTGGGATTGTTCCGTATTGCTGTATAATGTATTGCTGAGATTTGTAGTCCTCTATGGCCGGCGTCATTCTGCATTGCTGTATAATGTATTGCTGAGATTTGTACTCCTCTATAGCTGATGGTATTCAGCATTGCTGTATAATGTATTGCTGGAATTTGTAGTTCTTTATAGCTGATGTCACGTACCTTAGGGGAGTCTGAGTTGACGAGGGCGGCCTCTCTCACAGCTCCGGTCCCGGAGCCCCTGGATTGGTTACAGGGGCGCCGGGGCACAGAGGGGCAAGGGTGCCAGAGGCTAGTTAGCCTGTTGCGTCTGCGAGATGAGATGAAGTGCGTAGATCCGGGCAGGAAGCAGGATGCGGATGCACCGAAGAGGATCCAGAAGGCTTTAGATCTGATGAGCTGAGGAAGCTGGAAGCAGAACACACAAGGCAGAAGGATCGTCAAGCAGGCCGAGGTCATCAACGAGCTAGCAACGTAGTACAAGGGGTGAGGCAGAATCAAGGTCAAAAACAAGCCGGGGTCTTCAGGGAGCAAGCAACAACAGAGAGTAGTCCAAGCCGGGTCAGTAACGGGTAATCAGGATACAGAAAATACAGGAACACAGAACACAGGAAGCTGACGATCTGACAGCATAGGAGGATAGCTGAACACAGCCTTTATAGCCCAGTTGGCGCCAATTGTTCAAATGACACGTCGGCGCGTGCCCGTGCGTACTTTCGCACGTCCATGCAAAGACGCTGCTCCTATTATGGCTCTATGGTCCACAACAGGCGCCTGCGCATGCACAGACAGCGACACTCGAACTCTGTTTTGGCTTTCTGACAGCTGATGGTATTATGCTGCATTTCTATATAATGTATTACTGAGATTTGCAGTCTTTTATATCCTGTGGTATTCTGCAATGCTATATAATGTATTGCAGTCCTTCTACAGCTTGGAGAAAGTGGCAGAGCTACCAGGATCACAGCTGCCACTGGGCCCTGGCACTCCACCACTCTCCTAAAATCATTAGTCTGTATTGTATAAGAAAAACTGTCACATGACGCTACAAAAAAGGTATCAGTAATTAGTATCGGTACTCATACTCAGTCTGAAAAAATGGCTTAGGTGCATCCCAAATAGAAAGTGAACATAATTGTCACAGACAGCTATTGCAAGTTTACAAGGGTTCTAACCCTTTCACAATATATATAAAACTAGGAGGAACATTTTCCCTGGAGTCAGGATGTAATTTAGGAAATGTATTTTTATAAAAGAAAACATAACCCATTCACAGAATTAAAAATAAAGCTGGTTTGTAAGACTACCTAAGAAGTTTTCAATTATTTGCAGAAATCATCAGGGATGAAGCCAGGGAGGGCTGAATAACTACTATTGTTTTGGCTCAAAGACAAACTTAATTCAAGGGAAATTAGTGTAACCAAACAAGAGGGATTTTTGTAGCTTTGAAGCCTCTTTTGTGTAAATACATGCATGGTTCTGCGAATATAGCCTTGTACATGTGCCAAAATCACTGCTACAGTGATCTGATCAGCTGCTCACAAAGCATTTCACATTTTGCGTGAGTGCTGGAGGTTTGTCTTCTGAAGGTGCTTTCAACTTTTGTACATATTTATGAATAGCTGCACTGCAGACTTTTACTGTAAATGTAAAAGTGTAATACCTTATTGTCAGCTTTTTCTGCAGGCACACATGGGAACTTTACATTAAAACATGTGATATAACTAGGCTGGGAGATTTAAAAGATTAATTTTCATTTCCTTTTTAAAAAAATCTTAAAAATGCATTCAAGTACCTTAACCCCTTCAAGTGGGTTCGCATAAATACACGTCATCCCCTAAAAGTGGTTATACAGAGTACACGGCTGCTGCTGTACCTGTGTGCAGCAGCCGTGGGGCCACCACCACTGGGGCCGCCTCTAGTTTACTCGGTCTCCACTGTCCCTCGTGCGGACGGGCTTCCCGTGACAGATCCCCTGGCTTCTCGCCACTGATCTCTCCTCCGATCACTGGACCCGGAAGTGATATGTATTACATCACTTCCGGTGTCACTGTGCACATTCTCCGGCTCTTAGAGCCAGGAGAAGGTCTCTGCTATATCAGCTTCTTTGAGGTCCCTAGGTGACATTAGGGGTCTGACAGACACCTGATGTCTCCATAAAGAGGACCTGTCAGCCCCCTATGTGATTGCAATAAAGTTGAGTGTAAAAAAAAAATGAAAGTAACATATATAAAAAATGCAAACAAAAAAAAATTCCCCCGCTCCCCACGTGCAAGCACATACAATGCAAACATGCGTTGGATGCGCCTACATACAACAACTAAAACTGTGCCACACATGCTACATATCGCCATGAATGTCAGTGGTGAGCAATAATTCTAGGGCCACCAATCACTGTTAACACTAAACTGATGAGCAGTAACAGCTTTTAAAACATCACCTATGGGGAATTTTGGGTATTGGAGTGTTTTGCAGTTTCACGTGCACACACAATTTTAAGGCTTGACATGTTTGGTTTCTACCTACCTGATATGACTCTATCTTTTATATGTTACCAAAAAATTGATATTATATTCTGTTTCTGTGCACTAAATTTCATTTTAGTGTATTGTATCCCAAAATTACTGGTTTGATAAACATTTGCGTAGATACCGTGCGACATAAAAAATTGCAACTAGCATTTTTTTATTCTACATCCGCTGCTTTCAGAAAATATATAATTGTCGGTGTTTTAAGCATTAAATGCTTAAAAACACCGTGTTTTAAGCATTAAATGTAAGGCTGAACAGTATGCACTATAAGGTCACAATACAAAGAGTTGTATTTACAATAATGGCAATGGTGGGCCAGGGCTTTAGAAAGCCAGGCTGAAGGGGGCAACACCAAGAATTGAGAAACTGAGTGCCTGACCATGGGTTGGGCTGGTTGTGACTGGCTCTCCTCATGGGCTGAATTGATTCAGGGGCTCCAGAGGTGTTTAGAAAGACATTACTTAAAGTAGAACTGTGGTCAAATATTTACATATTTTTTTTAACAAGCAGTAAATAAGCTTTAATATAAGTTCTTACAGAGCTCTAGCTACAATCATCCACAAAGTTAGAGGAGAAATATGGGATGAGTGAAATACAGTCATCCCAATAGTTAGAGCCAACATGTGACACTGAAGCTGTCACACATCGGCTCTATAGATAACATCAAGGACTGAGCGATCACATACCACTTTATGATCTTCTCCCTGCACAGAGCAGTGGACCGTCAGTCACCGCTCCCCGCAGGAATTCCCGCCTCCCCTCTACATTCCTCCTGCGCTGAATTGAGGGAGAGACAGGGGAGTGGTGGGCAGAGCTGGTTCTGCCTCGAGAGAGGCAAAACCAGCTGTCAATCAAGTAGTGGGGTGGGTCCTGACAATATTGTCAGGATCCTTCCCGGCTGCAGTGTGGCTCTATGCTGTCAGCATATAGCAGGCAATAGCCCACTATATGCTGAGTTTTGGGTCACAGGAGGACATTTACTAATGTTCTTTTGTGATCCTAAAGAGAACCATGGCTAAAAAAGTTTTGCCCATAGTTCTCCCTTAACAAGAGAAACATTGGAGTCATCCAAGTCTGGCTCTGCACTCTGCTCTCCTCTTCCTTGCTCTGTGTTTACATTAGAGATTAGAAGGCTAGCACTCTGCTAACCAGACTTCCCAACTCTCCCAGACGCTCCGGGAGTCTCCCGCTATTAGATAGCGGCTCATGGCCGCCTGGGAGAGCAACATTTTCTCCCGGAAAGGTTTACTCAGAGTAAATCTTTCCCA